AATCTAAAAGTATGTTTTCACTTTGTCACTATGGATTAGTGAGTGTGGATCAATGGGCAAAATGGCAACTTGATCAATTTGAAATTAAATCTACAATGTGTGGGGAAAAAACTGCATGCTGCATTTCTTACTGCTATTCAGACTAATTAAATAAAAGTAGAACACAATAAACCTCTCTCATAATGACCAAAATTATAAAGCACAATTAGAGTCTTAGCAGAAGATGGAGGAGAAAGATAATATGTTTGGAGGTTATACTGAAACACTGCGATGGTAGAGTGACTTCGCCGTTCTGACTTCCTTTTTATTGCATTCCAGAGACCTTCATCCTCTGCTTTAGAATGCTCTTATTGCATCAGAGTTGAAGGTTTTTATTTCCTCCTTGACTCAACTTCCTTTTTTTTTCCTGTATCTCCAAGAGATCCCATTCAAGGCCTTCAGAGTTATAGCCGCCTTCAGCCGACAAACCTTTTTATCCTGCCTCCTCCTCCTCACTTTTATTGCAACCACTCAGGGGCGAATGAGAACCTGCTGCAGCAGCCATGGTAATCTCCTCAGCCTGTTAGTATTCCAGCAGCAAGTCTGATCTGTTATCAACCTGTTGTCCAACAGGAGGGGGAGTGAGATTGGACCTTAATAAATAACGTCAGGAAAGAGATGAGAGCCACACACCCCCTCTGCCGCTCGCTTTCATATTTTTAACTTGACAACATCCGAATGAGCCCTCCGTTGATCAGCTTGATCTGTGGGGTGACGAGGCTTCTTGGGATATTAAACTGTCCCGAGGTAAGCGGGAGAATGTGGTTCTTGTAAATGTTGTTTATTCTTTGATGCTTATCGCTCAACAGTGAAGCAGTTAGGAAGGGAAGTCAGGACCGATGGTCACGTGTGCTCCGAGATGAAAGTGAACTTTTTGAGATTGGACAGCCAGATGCACTTATAGTCCAATCTCTTGCTGCACGTCAAACAGAAATGCAGGGTTTGCTGTGAAGTTTTATGTGGCCCAGGCAGATTCCTATATCACAAGGAGCATCTAGAATAAATTAAAGTCAGATATTTTATTACTGAGCTTTTTGGGGAAAAGTTCCATGTTCACTCAGTGTTTTCTCAAAAATTAAAGAGGATACGATGCAAAAGTGGCATTTTGAGGAAACTGTGAAATCGTATTTTTACATCGTTGATCAATTTTTGTATAAGATGATGTCATGGGGTAGGACTGGATAAGTCTGACTTCTTCCTACTCCATTCAAACATGTACTAGGTATAGCAAACTGATTCTGGATTAGTATTGGTTGGATTTGTGTAATTATGTGTGTGTTGATGTCATTTGTTCTGCATGTTTGAAAGAATAAATCAAATCAAATCAAATCAAAAATAAACCTAGGACCAAATCCCAATGTTTTAATTTTGGGTTCTTATAGAAGTATGTTTGTTTGTTTGTTTGTTTTTGTTTTGGTTTGTTTGTTTGTTTCACCACTCGTTTATGGGACTAAATGGCAATGTTCAGCAGATAGATATGAACATTTAAGGTGCTAGATGTTTTTGAAAAGTCACAGAATTGGGCCACTTGTTATAAAAAAAAGACGTAAATGGATAGTCGTGACAGCTAGAGCTAGCTCATTGACAGATACTATATAAACGTAGTGAAAAGGAAACATCAGTCATTGCAGCTGTTGCCGATATGGGTCAGTAAGAAGACAAGGGAGGAGACAGACCGGTCTGTGAACAGTGATGCGCGCCCCCGATGATAAACCTCTGACGCCTTCATCCGGGAACTATTACGAACTTGCTCTCCAACATGGCGGCGTCAGGTGAGGTTTATGTGGGTGAACGATCTGGGTCGGTTGGGGCAATTTCAGAGGGTTATACATCGATATAATTCAGCATATGAAGTTTAAGGGTTGTTAATGCCTTGTGTCTTAGAGATGGACGTGGTTGTCCTGCATGTATAAGTAGGTTTGTTGGTAGTTTTGGCCCTGTAAAGACAAAACTGCTGAGAAAGACGAATGAACGAAACGATTTGCACAATCTTAACATTTTACCCTGAATATTATATGCGGACTTTACCCACTGAAGCTGTTATTACGATGTTTAGGTTGCCCACTTTCGTGTTCGTACGGTATTGTGTGGATTGGACAGTATGTGACATGTTATAAAATGTTTCTAACTGCGTGCAGAGCTGGCACATTGTATGTCCGTAGCGGAGCTCGCCGTGGCGCTCAGAGCAGATAAGCACCGGGCGCAAGCGCGTTTCTTGGAGGAGGGGTTGGGCCGAGGAGTCCGGGCTGCCCGAGGAGTCTCCCCACGTGTGCAGCCTGGCTTCTTGGTCTCGGTGTTTGATGAAACTGGGCAGCTGGGCCTGTTGGGTCGCATCCTAAACACTTCTTTGGCACCCTCACAAGTTTGAGCTGTCCCGTCCGGCCAGCCAAGTCTTGTTCCAATGATGGCGCACTTGGATCCCAGCGCTGCGACGTGCGCTAGGCCCGAAAACCTAGCAAAGCAGGGACAGTTTCACCGTCAGCAGTCCTTTGCTGACTAAGCCCACACACGCATAAAGACAAAAGCGACCTATGTAGATAGTTAGCAAACAGCCTGTGTGGTTAGCTTAACGGTTAACTGGTGGCCCTTGCAGCTGTTGTTAATGTAGCTGTAGCAGAAGACCGTAGTGCCAAAAGTTAACGTTGCACGGCTCCTAGCTTGCTAATGTCACATCAGTACGGGGCTTTAAGCTACTAAGCAGTTTATTATTTGTTGGTGTTGGCTAGTTAGTTAGGCCTGTTAATAGTAAACAATGACTTTGCACTATACCCAGTAAGAGCGGCGGTGTTGCTCTCACTGTGTTCGGGTTTTATTACGATGTCTTTAAAGCATGTCCTGACAGCTGGGATTTTCAAAAGAAAGCGTATAGTAAGCTCTGTCGCTCCCTTTTTCAGCCTCAGACCAAAACAAACTACAGTATATCTGCTCTATAAGCTGTATGTGAAGCCCTTATGGACAACTGAACTGTTTACCTTGACAGGGACACTGAAAAATGTTCTGCATTGGACACACAGTTAATTGATTCAGACTCCAAGGTACATTCCTGGAAACATGCATCCTGATGGTATGAACCTTGTTTCACCTGACTCATGGGGCTTAGCCACTGTATTGAAGCCTCTGATGATCTGCT